TGCTTGGGATTCTCTCTCTCTCTCTCTCTCTCTCTGCCCCTTCCCTTCTCTCTCTCTCTCAAAATAAATACATAAAACATTTTTAAAAAAGAAAAAGAAATGAAGGTGGAGGTTATCTCACAGTTTGGTGCATAAACTTCCATTTAACACCTCTGTCTGTAGCATTCTTGGTCGTCCTGGAGCTCACATGTCTAATTCAAAGAAGCTAATTATGTGTATCTCTTTCCAACTCCGTGATCAGAGACTTTGTGTTGTTAGCTTACAATTAGCTTTGGTGGGAGTATTTATCCCTCTCTAGCTGGCAGTGACTACAAATGGTGTCCCTCGTCCCCAGTGCAAGCTGATCGTTAACAGAACTGGTGCTTTGTGGAACACGCTACGCCTTCCCTGAGCTGTGCCTGGGTCTTCCCTGTGCCAGAGCCCTCTGGCTTACCTTCCAAAAGCACACTTCTAGTCAACTGCCTGAGGGGGGAGGGGCGTGCTCCTGGGGTTATGCAGAATGGGAAGAGGGGACCTAGCATCTACCTGCCTCTCCCGTCTCCAGCCCTCTCTTCTCTCCCACTTTGAAAAGCACCTGGCACCATCGCTCCTGGTTTTCTGATGCAGTCAGGTTGTTTCTCATCTCTACCTGCTGCTGGCTTAGGTTTCAGCTTCCCAAGATCTGCCAAGTCAGTGGACATTCATCCATCTGCTTTGCAACATGCAAAATTAGCTTTCTGTGGTCTCCTCTTTGTTGAAGGGGTTTTATGTTTTTTTTTTTTTAAAAAACCCTTTACACTCCTTTTAGAGGTTTGAAGGAGGAGCTCAATCTGCCCTTTTATTTTTCATTTTTAATTAAGACATAGTTGACATATAATATTACATTAGTCTCAGGTGTACAACATAGTGATGTGACAATTATATGTATTATGCCCACGCTAAGAAGTTCAGTTGTCCTTTGTCACCATCCAGTGTTATTACAATATTATTGACTGTACTCCGTAGACTATACTTGTCATCCCCGTGAGACGATTTGTTTATTTATTTTACAACTAGGAGTTTGTACCTCTTAATGCTCTTCACCTGTTTATCCCATTCCCCCCACCTCCCTCCCCTCTGCCAACCACCAATTTGTTCTTTGTATTTGAGTCTGTTTCTTTTTTATCATTGCTGTTCTTTTATCTGTTCATTTGTTTTGGTTTTTAGATTCCACATATGAGTGAAATCATATGGTATTTGTCTTTGTCTTTGTTCATTTGGCATGATACACTCTAGGTCCGCCCATGTTGTCACAAATGGCAAGATTTCATTCTTTTCTATGGATTAGTAGTATTCCTCAGTGTGTGTGTGTGTGTGTGTGTGTGTGTGTGTGTGTGTGTGTACACTATCGATATCTATCTATCCTTCATCCATTGATAGAAACTTGGGTTGCTTCCATATCTTGGATGTTATGAATAATGGTGCAATAGACATAGGGGTGATATGTCTTTTTGAATTAGTGTTTTCCTTTTCTTCAGATAAATACCTATAAGTGGAATTGCCAGGTATTTCTATTTTTCTGTCTTTTTAATGTGAACATCCAACTGAAGACTTCATGGTGTATTAGGGACTGGCTGAGAATCTGAGGGGTCTGGACCACTGAAACACCCCTCCTATCCTGGGCCCACCCAGAAGTGCCTCTCGAGACCCCGGGAGGCCCCACAGCCAAGGTGGGCTTTCTTGTGCTACAGTTAATAGCATGCAGGTCAGCATGGCCCTTGGGGGCAGGCTCAGGACCACAGTCGTGAGGATGGAGTTACCATGGATATTTGCTAAGTAATTGCCTGATGCTATTCAGGGCTTGGCCAATTGCTACAAACTTGGTAACTCTGACTTCCTGAAACTCCGTCTTATTGGCCTTTGTAAAACACATACATATTTCCTCTTGGAAAAGTTTCCAAGTACCAGAGCGCCCGAAGAGATCCTGTGGATTTGAGCCATTACCTATTGGTCCATAAATTGGTTAGAATTTATTTGGCAATTGAGAAATAACTAATCTTGCTCCTGTTCCACGCAGCCTCAAGGTTCACACCATTCATCTTGTTAAATTCCGTTTCTCAGCTCCAAGAGGTAAGAAGGCATCTCAGCATGCATAGCTCTGCTGAACAAATGGCATTTCTGGGCTGATCACTTAACAAAAATGTGTGCTGGGCAAGGAAAAAGCCATGCTGGTTCCTTTCATTCTGTGCCCAGTGGCCTTACCAGTGGTGAGTGTAGGACGGCTGATTACTGAGGATTGGAAAACTTTTCCACTTTTCCTTACAAGGCTGGCAGTAGTTTCTGAGACAAAGAACATTCTTGGCCCCGCAGGCAACCATGCAGCGCCAATGGATAATCAGAAAACATGCTCTAAAGGGTCGGCCTGGACTCTCAGGAGACCTTGTTCTCGGGGAGCTGGTGTCCGACATGATGGAGGCACCAACTTCACTTCTGGGAGAACAGCTCCCCTGCTGAGGCCAGAGGGAAAGGCTTCTCTCCCCTTTAGAAACATCCTGTAAGTGTGGGAACCCAGGAGATCAAGGATTCCTGGATAAAAGCGGTGCCTCGCAGGGACAGGGGAGTAAGGCGTCCATCATATAAACGTGTGTGCTCGCAGCTCGATGCTCGTGGGCCCCAGCCTCCGCTCACCAGTTCCCAGCCATTTGCCTGTGGGCAGCTGGCCCTCTCTGAGCTTCATTATCTTTGATAAAATGGAAGTAATAATAAGAATTACCTGGGGGAAGCTGCGGGGCAGAGTGAAACGCAGGGAGCCCCCACTAAGAGTTTGCTGTTGTGGGCTGTTACTGTGGGTGACATGGCTGACCCCAGTCCTCTCAGAGTTACAGCAAGGTGGCCTCTTTGGAAGGGAGAGGTCAAGGGGCAGGGTCTACTCTCTGAGACAGTGGCAGGGCTGCTCCCTGAGAAAGCAGAGAATGACTGAGTGAACCTGAGGAAGATGCAGAGTTGACATTAAATATTTACGAAGCACCCAGAGCATGTGAGAAAGCAGATGGATTTCTCTCCAGGAACATTTCACTTAACTTCAGACAAGGCATTAAACATCCATCGGAAGCATGAACACATCCTCATGGAATCACTAATGAGGAGGTACCTTAGGAAGCATAATATCACAGTCTTCAGTGCCTGCCAGAGCGGAGTCTTGCCCTATCACTTTCTCTCCTCTGGTTTACACCCACACAGTTCACTGGCAGAGCCCTACATCTCGAAGACACGCAGCCACAGTGACAATGTATTTTGGCTTGAGCTCAGGCATGTTTCATCAAATACACACACAGAGCAAACATATTGTGTGGAAAGTTCCCAAGTTCAAAGCTGGGTGTGAGTTTTTGCTCATCGTTAGGCATTTTATTATTTACCTATCTATTTATTTAAAATTTTAAAAATGTTTATTCTTTTTTTCGAGAGACACAGAGAGCATGATTGGAGGAATGGCAGAGAGAGAGAGAGAGAGAGAGAGAGAGAAACACAGAATCTGAAGCAGGCTCCAGAACTCACGAACTGCAAGATCATGACCTGAGCTGAAGTTGGACTTTTAACCAACTCAGCCACCCAGGTGCCCCTTTAGGTATTTTAAATACATTTTGAATGGTGGATCTTCCTGTGTGTGTGTGTGTGTGCGTGTGTGTGTGTGTGTGTGTACAAGTGTATGTGTGCTAGTATGTATGAATGCATATGGATTTATACTAAGAATGGACCTAATTATTACCCCACTTCTGCTTTTAAGAGCAGTCACTGCTACCCCAAACATCTCTTTGGATTCCATTACATCCTATGCAAGGCACTCACTAACCTGATGTATACCTTAGCATAAAAATCTTGAAATTTTCCATGGAAGATAGTAAATAATTAAGTAGCACTGATCCATATCTTATGATACTGCCTCTTTGCTTCTTCATCTATATAGTCATGAATTTTTTTTCTTTTTAAAATAGACTTTACTTTTAGAGCTATTTTAGGTCTACAGCAAAATTGAGCTAGTGGTATAGAGAGTTCCCATATACCATCTTCCCCCCGACCCCCATTATCAACATCCACCACCAGAGAGGGACCTATGTCCCAACTTATGAACCTACACGGACACATCACGATCACCCAAAGTCAAGTTTACTTTGGGTTCACTCCTGCACACTCTATAGGTTTTGACAACTGTATAATGACATGTGCCCATAGATTATATTAATGGGTTTTTGGCCTTACTGAATTGAAAGAATAGGACACCAATACAGGTTTTTCTCCCCAGGCTCTACTGGGAGAAGCTCCCCCAGCCAAGAAACACAGAGCTGCCCTTCAACTCAGAGCATGTTTTAATGATATAATAAGGCTCCAACTTAAAAAACAAAATGTCTCCACAGACGCCTCCCATGAACACTGTCAGTGACTGAGTGTGTTTCCCGGGACTGAGCGGGTGCCATTACTCTTCCCCCTGTAACCAATCATTCAGCCTCCCTGCTTTTCAACCATTTATCCTCAACCACGTGACTCCAGTTTTACCCATGGTCAAGCTCGCACACTGGCAGGTTAGCCTGAATGGAGCCCTGACCCAGGCCTGACGCTGTGGTTATTTCTGCCTCTTTTCTACTTCCCTCCAGCATTGCCCAGAGCCGGGGGGTCCTTGGCCATTCTTGTGCCTCTCCTCTCCTGCTCCATGCGTTATGTGTTTTTGGTTATTGTCCCTTAATTCTGGAGCGAGCTTGCTCTCCTCACTCCCTCTCAGGCACCTTTCTTGTCCTCAATCCATGAATTTCTTCTTTTTCCTCATGGAAAACATGCTCTGGACATGAGACAAAGCAACTTCTACCTTCTTTCCTTAGGTGCCCAAACGGACACTGGTTTTAATGCTCTTTCTTTCCTCTCCAGGTATCAAGGGCAGAGAAAGCTCTGGTTTTCATTGGCTCCATTACATTATTATAGTGCCAAATATCTCCTAAACTATGACCAATGTGAGAAATGGACTATTTCATTTGCAAGCCGAAAAAAGCAGGTAAATATGAGCATTTCTTTATTTAGTTAGTAGGAAAAAATCATTCTAGATTGTCCATGTGGGACCATTCCTAGCCACTGGTGGGCTATTGCTTTACACTCAGCCGAAGTTACAGCACCGGGTGGGGAGGCATGATTATAGAAACAGAGTTAGGGACAAATGCCAACATGAACATGTCTTATATAAACAGAGCTCAAATTACCTCCATACATTCTGAATTTAGAAATCTCACCAATCCACAGATGAAAAATATTCTTGCAAGTATCTAAGTCTGGGATAATATAAAGTGAATGGACAGTGCACTGAGCACTAGAAGCACTGTTAAGAATTTCTCATGCTTTGTGCACAGGCTTCACAAGCAACCGAAGGAACAGTACAGCCAATCAAAGTAGTTCATTTAACTTTTCAAATGTCCAGATGCTGTTTTTGTCTATGCTCCTGTTTGGATAACTGCCATTTTGTTCCCTTTCCAATAAAACCTGGTGTGCAAAGCCCCCCCCCCCCCCCCCCCCCGGAGCTGCTGCTTTTACCTTGTTCCTCCTAAATTATCCAAAACAAACAGGGCTCTTTTGTGGTCCATGGTATGCCAGGAGCCTCCCGAGTCTGGCTGCAGACCCAAGGGTTGCCTTTTCCACAAAGAGATGGCCAGTGTGGCTTTTCCTGAGAAAAAGATGTATCCAAACCCGAAGTAGCCCGTAAGGCTTCATGTTAGTCTTACCCACCTCATCCTCAGAAGTCAATAACCCCTACTGTTGATGGGTGACTGGGCGTGGTCCCCCGGGAACAGACCCATCCTAGGCATCCCGGGTTGCTGCCCTTGGCTTTGGGCAGGAGGGGAGATTAGCCATGCGTTCTAATGAAAATGGCAGAACATAGTTTTGGATTTTGAACAGGGAAAAGGCCTTCGGTAAAATTAGAGCTCCAGGCAACCTCTTATTCCAATCATCCTTGCGACATATAGGGTCCTCCCTCGACGGGCCCACCACACAGATCTTTCATTCCCCACTGACCAGTCGTAAGGCCTCTTGATCAAGCGTAATCCCTGGCCAACAGCAACCTTCCCTTAATAAGTCATATTTTTAAGCTGCAAATGTCACTTCATTCTGAATGAAGAGTGAGTTTCATACGTGATGATTGGAAGGAATATTAGAGAAGGGTTTTAATATCTTGTCCATTATGGGCTGGTTTTGTTGTTAGAAAGCTTTTTTATTTTCTTTTAAAATAAAATTTGAATAGAATCTTACACGGAAGGCTGCTATACACATCACATAAAAGTGTAAGTGCCCTGGGGAAAACCAAGGTAGATCAATTGTTGGGTCCACCTAGCCCCGGAGATAGGCGTGCTGAAGCCTTACCTTGGGGCATGATCTGAAGAACTTGGACTCAGATGACATGTCAGGCTCTTTCCTTCAACATACTGTTATTTCATAATGTACCTGCACTGTCCAGTCTCAAACACCATCTTGTGCCCATATGTTTTAGTTGGTTGGTTTGCATATAAAAATAATGCCAACTCTTAAGTATACAGATTGGAGGCAAAGCTATGAAGATATTAGCTAGCAACCACTTACAAAATAAAGGAAAGTACACAGTGATATCAAGACCCATACACTCACTTTACATGGTGAGTTAGCGCCCCAGATATACAGGACAGAGTGCCCTCAATCGTCTTGGTTCCTTTTCCTTTGTCAGTTTCCCCTTTCACTTTCTTCTTGCCATCCTCTGTTCTTTCTTTTCTCTCTCTTATACTCTTTTTTCTTTTTTTTTTTTTTTTGGCTCCCTCCTTCTGTCCTTGATCTTCCTTGATCTCTCTCTCTTGTTTTCTCTTTCTTTATCTTTAACACCTTTACTTTATTTCTTATTATGTTCACTTTTTGCATTTTCTCAGCTTCTGTCTGCTCCTTCAGTATCAGTCAGGCTAGGATAGGTTACACGGCAGTAACAAACATCCCCACAATCTCAGGTGCTTAAAGCAAAAAGTTTATTTTTCAGTCGTTCCGCATGACCATCATGGTTTGATGGGGGGCTCTGCTCATTGTAGTCATCCAGGGATCTAGGCTGATGCAACAGCAGTTTTCTCAAATGCTGTTAGAACAAAAAAAGGATGAGGGATGCATACATTGTCTCCAGAAGCTTCCACCTAGACAGGAGATAACATGTCATCTGCCTCCTATTGCATAGCCAAAGCAAGTTACACAGGCATACTTCAAGTTGGTGGGCAGAGTGCACTTCTACCTTATGCTTGTGAGGTGAGAAAATCCAAGCACACACAAACGCCCCAGATGAGTGTCACACTCATTACATAAACTCTGCAGATCTAGTCCAGATTCCTCCTGCTCCTCTGCTCCTAATCTTCTTTACCTCCATCCCCGGCCCTTGCCCCCCTCACTGGTCACTGATTGAGGCCCCTCTCTTCCTTAGCCCCTGCCAGGCACTGGTCTATTCCAGTGTTGGTGCTAAAGTCGTGTTGCTGAAGGGTCCTGTGGAACAGACTCTCCCTCTCCCCATTCTACATGGCTTCGTATTAATAAGCATTTAGACTCTTTCTCCAAAACCATCACTTAGCTGCCCTAAAATAAGTCACGGCAAAACCATTCGCACTATACTTTATAAATATATAGTAAGGGAGCAGAGCAAAAATGTAAGAAGTGTTACTTAGTATCAATTATAATTATAATGAATCCAGAGAAAGAGCTGCATTGTAAAATTATAAGGAAGTCTCTGAGGTAAAGCCAATCCTAAGCTATCCATAAAACCGTGTCTGAGAGCTGAAGAAAGGCAAGTATGTTTTATTTGAATATAAATGTTACTCACTTCATCTGCTTAGTCAGATAGCACTGGGGCCCAGTAAAGCAGAAGCTAAAATGCCACTATACCTGCTCCTTTGCCCCAGCTTGCTGAAAGTCATGTGCAGTTTTGAATCTTAGACCTCTTTCCTGGATGGCATCCAATGGGATAGGGCTACTGAGGGATTTGTGAGATACTGATAGCAGGAAGGTTCTTCACAAATGCCTTTGTGATACCTGGAGTGCCGTGGCTCACATCAGCTAAGGGCTACATGGTATGATCAGAGACAAATGGAGCTGAGTGGTCACATGTAAATGGATGCTTCTATGAGACACTAAAAGACAAAGAAAACTTCTCAAACATCTCCCTCAATGTTCACCACATTGACACAATTTTATAACTAGACAATTACTCCTTTGAGAACTTTATAGTTTTGTTTTTTTTTTTCAGTTTTCAGAAGAACCAATAATTAACATTTTAAGGGAGGTGCAATAATTAACATTTTAAGCCATCACTGACTACCATGGTATTTCAGGGTTACCTGATACCATAAATCTGGACCAGGTAGTAAGTGAGAAGTGAAGAGTGCTCAGTCTTGAGGAAGTAGTTAGTAATTCTTGGGAAACCAGAACCAAACCCAAAATTTACCACCTTCTCATTTATTTTCCCCGAAAAACATCTCTGATTTTTCTCAAGGCAAACTAGAAAATTTTGTGATACAGAAACAAAACTAAAATTTCCAAAGCGGCATGTGAGTCCTATTCCTTGGGCCACTAGAGATATCCCAGATTTCTCCTTAAGGTAAGTAAGCATGTTTCAACTTTCTGGTGAGTGTCCCTTCCGGTTGTTGGTTCCAAGATGGGGACAGGAAGCTGACGTGTGGAGGTCAGGCTGGGAGGAGATGACCCCAGGCAAGCTGAAGATACACAGCAGTGCAGATGTGGGGGCATGTATGACCCATGCTGGGCCGGCCCATGACTATTTCAAGTTCATGGGCCGTGTATGGGGAGGCGTGTCTGGCTTGTTCGACTCCAGGTTTTGAGGAACTGAGACCTAATAATGATTGAGTTTTCACAGTAATTCCAAATACTGTCAAATACACAGCTGGGGTGGAAATTGTTTTTAAAGGGCTAGAGACAAGATGCCTGCATTCAGTACTTCATGATTCTATTTAGAATTGAGAAGCCAGAGGTGAGTACTTGGTTTCAATAAGACAAGCCAAGTTCCATTCTTTGTAGGAAATCAAGTCCTATTGATTAATAAATGAGAAAAATGCAGAATTACTAATATCTTATCTCCACTAAAGTTTCTTGCTAAAGCAACCACTTTCTACTGTTTTGTATACAATTAAAATAAATAGTACAGTAGTCATGTGCGTTAATTCTCGTTAAATGAGAAAGCGAGCATCCCTTGGGCTTCCACCTCCTTTTCTTCGCTTCCTTTTTACCCTCCCTATGTAGAGTTGTTACTTAATTTTTTCTTTTTTGTTTTGCAAGTCAGTCTTCCCTTCAGCTTAGTTCCATAGATGACCAGCACTGGCGGCGCCTTATTTTAGGGAGCCAAATACACGGAGCTGCAAAACCCAAGGGGAAAAGGTGACGTGGCTTTGGCTGCCTCTGTCGGAGGGAACGCTCCATTGTCCCTGGGTCACAGCTCTCCGGGCTCTGCAGAAGCCTGCTCTCCATCTCGGAAACAAACAGCCTCCGGCAGGTCTAGCTAGTAACTCCAGTCCTGCTTGGGAGGGACTCATGACACAGAGAAGGTGAGTCAGTGTGTAGTCCTAAGAGTTCACACTCCCTATCCCTGCCCCTCCCCCCAGGCTTTGACTCTGAACCGCAGCAAACGATGTATAGACTCTAAGGGAGGAGTGACAGTGTGTGTAGACTGTAGTGGGCACAGATGCTTCAGCCAAATTGGAGGCATAATATATTTACATCAAGACAGGAGAAAAAAATACGTGTGCTACTTTTAAATAAAGAATATTCAGCATACACAAAAACTGAAAGAATTCTACCATGTATTACTGCCTCTAAATAAATACTACTTTCTCAAAGGAACTGACACATTGGATTTGGGGCATTTTCCTACTCGTATGAAGATGGCTTAAAATAGATTTGCATTTCAGGTTTTTTTTTTAATCACTGAATGTACATCATGTCATCAGACCCATCCTATGAAATGCCATCCTAGGAGCAGCTCATGAGACCCTGTTGCTACAGCTGTGCCTAAATGTCACATGTAGGACAGGTGTGAAGAATGATTTTGATCACAACTTAGGGTCAAAATGATTACCTTTGGGTTCTTCTCCCATAATAATCTTTCCAGAGAGCTCATGGTTTAACTGTTTGTTCACAAATAAAGCATATTATTTTTCTTTTTTCCTTAAAAATTTTTAACGTTTATTTATTTTGAGAGAGAACGATAGAGAGCAAGTGGTGGAGGGACAGAGAGAGAGAGAATCCCAAGCAGGGTCCATGGTGTCAGCACAGAGCCCAACGTGGGGCTTGATTTCAGGAACTGTGAGATCATGACCTGAGCCAGTAACAAGAGCTGGGCACTTAACCAACAGAGCCACCCAGGTGCCCCAGACATTATTTTTCATAAGAGAACAAAATGGAGTTTTTATGATCTAAAGATGGAAAAGTATAGCCAATATATTGTCCGAAGCAAATGTATTTTCTTTATAAAAGACAATGCAAAAGCCTTTCTGGACATTGTTTTTGTCAGAATCTGCCAAATCAAGAAAGAGAATGGGATGGGCACACAGAGCGATTCTCAGAAGCCAAACCGAAAAGAAAAAATGTTAAGACAGATAAACATTATGTCATGTTTCTGAAACTTCCTGATCATCCTTAAAGTAGACCATCTGTCCCTGATGACGAAACTCACTGGATGAGACCTTGAGGAATGTAACTCTTTGTAAAATTTCTGAAACATTGAATTTGTTCTCCAGTATTCCAACTCTGTAGCAAATCTGTTACCCAGATGTAATTTTAGAAGCATCAGAGCTCTTGGCTCCCCGAAGGAAGAATTTCAATTTAGAAAAGGCATTATAGACTAACAAGAGAAGAATGCTCAAAACCTAAATTACCCCAAACAAACCAGGACGCAGCATAAGGAAAGCAACTAGAGAATTCAGCAATAGGCCAAGGTGAGTTCCAGCCACTCTTACCACTGTGGGGACAAACACTCTGACAGCTCACAAAAATGGAATTCGGCAACATGACCCAAATGCTGAGCATATAGTCTGGTTTTGATGAACAAGTCACCTTTTGCCAAGTATTTTACTAAGGGTCACTTAGCACATGAACAATTTCAAAGTCGACATTCACCGAAGGGGTGTGTGTGCGCGCGTGTGTGTGTGTGAGTGTGTGAGTGACTATGCATCACCAGCCCTCTACAAAGGGGCAGATGGTACTGAGAAAAACGAAGTTGTCATGATAGGACGCATAAACAGAGTAAGAATGGGAGAGGCCATGAAGGTTCAATAAGAAAAAGCCTGGGGGAAGCACAGGTGAAATGGTGGAAGACGTCAGGAGGTGACGACGACTTGGAAAATTCTGCAGGGACAGTGCCAAGCAATATACTCCACATAACCCCATGAGGAGTGAGAGAATGGATCCAGCCTCGAAGTAAGGAAGCAGATGAATGCAGCAGCCATGAAAACAGGGGAGGTGAGGGGCCAGAGGAGGGGATTCGGGAGGGGCAGAAGGAGACCAACAGCTGACCCTCTAGCGCGCTGGGCAGCCTCGTACTCGTACTCACAGCTCTCCTGTGGAAGCGCATGTGCGCTCTGGCTCCAGGCACCCTCAGTGCCTCACACAAGTTTCCCTCCATGTGCTTCTTAAGCTGGAACACAGCACCTGAGAAGGTTCTTCCCACTGCACGTACAACAGCCGGGCACAGTGGTTTGGAAATCACAAAGACTCACCAAAATGAATCTGACAGGTTCACAATATGCCTAATAGCCACTGTACATGTGACAATTAGGTCTTATAAATCACTACATTGTTTTTGCACCACTAAACCAAGGTGGTAATTTTCCATTTCATTAGATTTATCAATCACCATAGTATATAGTATAATGAGCACCATATACCCATTACCAAGAATAAATGGTTATTAACGCTTTGCCACATTTACGTTAATATTTTTTGGATATAGTATATAAAATAAGTTTCATGACATTTTACTCCTAAAGACTTCAGAAGCATCTCTAAAAACTAAGGACATTGTCCTATGTAATCACCATCCCCTTCTGCATCTACCAAAATTAACAATAGCACCTACCTGTCATATAGTCCTTGTTCCGTATTCAAATTTCCCACACTGTCCCCCCAAATGTGTTTTATAGCTCATTTATTCAAAGTAGGATCCAATCAATGTCCACAAATGGCATTTGGTTATTACATTTCTCTTTGGATCTCGCAGGCCTCCTCCGCATTTCCTACCTCTGCCTTGTTATTTTTACGTTATTGAAGCATGTAGCAGAAGAGGTTAGTGGGGGGCCTGGGGAAGGGCCACCTTCTGGATTTGTCTAATTAACTTGCTCCTTGAATCATTGCCCATAGTTCCTACATGCTCTCTTTCCTGTAAGCCGGAAGTTAGATAAAACCCTGTTCAAACAGTGCTGGTGAAAAGACTTCATTGATGTTGCTGCATGCTCCAGAGCAACTTGCAGCAGGACCCACATCCCACAGATCATGACACAAAGATGGATCGCTGCGTTAAGGTGGTCATCGGAGCTACATAGTTCTGGCACCCACCCCCCACTCCTTAACACCCAAACCTGCTTAAAGTACTGCCGCCCACTGGCAAGCTTTCACGTGCTTCACCAGAAATAAGCCCGTGTAATTGGCAGCAATAAGTGAAAGCTATAAGTATTCATAGACTTCCAGCACCTTGGACGCTAAGGGCACAGTTATAGTTAAGAATAAACTAACTTAATATCAGCTGCTCTTTGGTTTGGTGGGAGGAAGGAGGGCAGTGAGCAGCAAAGAGAACACAAAGGAGTAGAAATTTCATGAGAAATGAAGAGATGAAGAGACCAAATAAAAACAGGAATTTGGGGAAACTTTTTCTTTAAACTCAGAGAGTGATTTATCATGGGACCTGACAGTTTTGACTCTAAAATCAGGACACAGGGATTCACCAGCTCTCATTGTCTGACTCTACTCTTGGGCACCTAATTTAACATCACTGGGCCCTCCTGCCTCATCAGAACCTACCAATAATAAAGGCATTTCCCTAGTTGGGTCTCTGGGCAAATCAGTGTGAGAAAAATGCTCAGCACTGCGCCAGACACGCAGTAAGAGCGTGGTGGACAGAAGTTGCTACTATTGCTTAATCTTGCACTGAACTAAGGAGCCATTTTCTTGTCCTGTATTTTCCCATCAAACATTCACAGGAGACTTTTTGAGAAAGTGGAGGGTGAGGGAAAGCTATCGGAAGCAGTGGCTACATGGGGGTCAGGAACGTTTGTCCAAAATTCTCCAAGGATGGGTCAGGGACAAGTGGGGAGGGAAGCTAAAATGGAAGCCATCTTTCCCTCAATGACACAGGGCCAGAGTCTCTTCTCAGATACAGAATTTCCTTGGTACTCTTCTTCACATGTGGCCATGGTGTTGACAGGACTCAGTGGGCCCAGAGCTCTATCGCTACCTCCAAGCTCCTTAGGGGACATGACCTGAACTTGGCAGGTCTGAAGGGAATACAGCTTAATGGGCAGTTGATGGTACAAAGTGACATCAATGGACCTAGTAATGAGCCTGGACAAGGGCAGTGAAACAGAACATGGTGAAATGTCATGGAGAAACATCGGTACATCTACTGTGGGTGCTCAGAGGGTCAGGCCCATGATGCAATGACTTCTCTTTCCTCTGAAGCATTTGCTTTCCCTTCTGCCTCAAACGGCTCCATGGGTCCCTCTCAGACAGGAAATCTCATGTTCCTCTGGGACATTCATAATGCGGTAATTCATTTCAATAATCAAGGCACTCTGCATTCTGTAAAAGGGAAAACCAATGAATTCTACCACTTGCAATTTTGCTCTGACAGGAATTAATGTGGAAGGTTTCTTATTTTATTGAGCCACCCACAAAAGGGAGCAGAGAAAGCCTCAAATTCCTCTAAAAGCTCGTATTCCAGCAAAATAACCCAGATAAACATTTACACTTCAGCTTTAAGATAGTTTTCCCAAGTGCCATTTTTAACTTTCAGTGCAGCATAATCTTATCAGGATGGCTGATC